TTTTTTTTTTTTTTTAAGGCGGGGGTGGGAGTGGAGAAGGAAAAGGAAACTGAGAAAGTAGTACCGCCTGTTTCCAACAGGTCCCGCGTCCGCAGCCAGGGGCCCAGGTAAAGGTGCCGGTCTTGGGTCTCCCAAGTGCGTTGGGAAACCTCCCCAAGCCCGGCTGGACCCGCAGGCGGACTCCGACTCCACGAATCAGATCACAAGGCGCTGGTGGCAGGGCCAGCCGCGGGGGAGGTCAGAGGGAAACTGCCACAACCCGGGGCAAACTGAATTCGTTTGAGTCATTTTCCCCAGGCGTCTGGAGCCAGCCCGGCAGCGCTGGCCCTGGCGGGGAGCGGAGAGGCGACGCGAAGGGAGCAGGCGCCGCCGGGCCTACTCGAAAGAAAATCCCCAGTCCTGTCAACTCCAGAGCTGCAGGGGTGGAAGACAAACCTACCCGCCCTGGGCCCCAGTCACAAGTATCTGACATTTTCCCAGAGGGAAGTAATCGACCCTCTCCACCCACCCCACCCCCGCCGGGGAAACCTCTCGTTGTGGCGATCTCTGCGGAGAGGAAGGGCAGAGACTCTGGCATTATCGGAAATGTTCTTTCTACAAGGAAAATGCATTCGTGATTAATTATGAGGTTAAAATGGAATTTTTAAACATGCCAAAAAGGAACAAAATGATTGCAGGAACCACTTAGAAGGTAGTTGGACTCGGGGACAAGGGTGTGCATATCCCGAGGGCCTGTACCTTTCCCTTTGCGCTTTGCTGTGTCCACAAACAGGAATCGGTTGGGTAAAGCCCAAGTCGCGACTGTCCACCCCGCTGCCTGCTGGGCCGAGCGGCCTGCAGACCCCTGGCCAAGGACTTTGGGCTACAAAGGCCTAGGGGTCTTGAGGCTGGAAAAGGTCACGGCCTGGGAGGAGGGCGGATCGGCCTTTCCGCGCCGGGTAAAATTGAAAGTAGCTAGGGCCTGGGTTTGGCTTTTCCCCGCTCCGGCGGCCGGCCGCCGGCCCCAAGGCCTCAGAGCCTCCAATGTGGCATTAACTCTTCCTTGCTCGACGCGGACCCGGCGGGAGGGGAGTGCAGCGGTGAGCATTTTGCTCTGGCCAGTCCTTGATAGCCTGGGGAGTCTGAACGGGGCCTGGGGGAGGCGGGAGGGGGGGGGAGGGTTGTGTTCATCTGTAAAAGGTAAATAATAAATAACCCTCTCCCCACTCATTCTCTGCTTCCGCCTCAGGCTTCTGTGTGGGTCAGATGACACCGTGTCACAGAGAGAGTGGAATCGCTCTGGAACAAGGTAGAGGGCCATTTGCTCCCTGCCTGGGTCAAAGCTCAGTTGACCCTCCCAGGGGGTCCCCTCATTATAGCCTTGTTTGCCCCTAGTCGCTTTAGAATTTCAGCTTCTTGCTAGCCTATTCTCCAAACGAAATGAAGACAGGGTCACTTACAGAAACGCTCGGAAAGTCGAAAGCAGAGAGGACATGGGCAGGTGCAGAAGTCAGCAGGTTAGGAGGGGATTGAAGCTGGGTGCAGGTTCAGTTTTGAACGATTTCCAGACTCAGAAACCAGTCCCACAGAAAAAAAAAAAATAATAAAAGGGAATCCTAGGCATTTGCTCCCGATTTAGTGGGATTCATCTGTGACTTCTGCAAAATCTCCTAAATCGCCATTCCCTGAACTACATGGGTTTAAGCACTTTCTGAGGGGCTGGAAACACGGCCGCTTCCTCGAGGGGCGAGGCATCCTTGGTCCAGGACCGAAAAGTGGTTGGGAAAATGAGCCCCACACATTTTCATGGTACTGGATTCCCCAAAGCCAGACAGAGAGAGGCTCAGAGAAAACACGGCGTCCAAGAGGGCATGTTAAACTAAAAGTTTATAAATTAAAGGAAAAAAAAGATAAAGCGAATAGAGCTTCCAAACTTCACAAATCTTTTTAAAGTTAATATTCTAGATGAGTGCACAGTGCCCTTAAGGAGGCAAAAAGCGACGAGGCTGACAGGATCATCTGTCTTCGGGGCAGGGACAGGGATGACAGAATCCTGGGTCAGAACGCAAGAATCTCGGAGGATGGTGGGTAGGGACAGAGGGCCGGGTGGCTGAACAGCGAGGGATGCCATGGAAAGGCTGGTCAGGGATATTCACATTGAATACAAAAATAACCGTTATTTGAATACAAACAACTGAAAAGTGCTACAAGTTTTAACCTCCTTTAAAAAAATAAAAAGAAATACAGGAAAGTTTCTGTGAAGGGCTGCTGGGTTTGCTGTCTCCTGGTTTGGGGTTCCCAGGAAGCTCCCCAGTTGGTGGCGGCCCTGGACCTCGCAGGGGAAAGATTCCGGGGGGGTCTATGCCCTGCCCTGTGCTCAGAGGCTCCCGTCTTTACATTCAGCACCCAATAGGGCATCCCCACCCGAGCTGTGACATGGGGAGGGGTGGGGCAGAGGGCAGGAAAACCAAACCTTTCACGGTTCAAATCAACCCCATGGCTTGGGGCTCCTTGGGGCTGCCAGGGTTCCGCACCTCTTTAATACAAATGCAATTTCCAAAAAAAATAGATATGTAGATACACATAGATTGGTAGCATGGATACCATGAACTATTGTGGCCTAGCGCACGAGGCTCCCGGCTAGCCTGAAATTCTGGGGATTCAGGCTAAGTGATCTCCAGGAGTTCTTTCCGCTCCAGGGAAACGTGGTCTCCTGGCAGGTACAATCCACATCCAACTTTGTTGTGATAATAAATAATGTCCCAGAGCTTCCAGGCGGGCGACAGGGGAGCAAGGCCCCTAGGCCATAGGGTGCCTCTGTTCGAATTAGAAAAAGGCGCCCTCTCTGGACAGACTCAGTCCCGCTGCCAGGGCGCACTCCTGGAAGTCTGAGCCCAGGCTGGATTTCATCCTCCACTTGCCCCCTCCGCGGGGCGCCCTTGTGCAGAGCACAACCTGCACAGCCGTCCGCGGCCGTCCGGAACTGGGGCGCAGGGATCATTTGCTGCCTCGCCCCAGGCCGGCTCACTGGGTGCCCGCGGCGGCTGCACACGTGGAGAGTGCCCAGCCGGGGAGGCAGTAGTAAGGGTAATAGTAGGAGGGCTGCAGCGGCAGCAGCGAGGGTGGCCGCAGCACCTCGCCGGGCAAGTACTGTCTCTGGTCGTCGCGTACGAGCACTTTCACCGCCACCTTCTTGGCGGCGGGCGCTGACGCCAGCAGGTCGGCGGCCATCTGCCGGCGCTTGGTCTTGTAGCGACGGTTCTGGAACCAGATCTTCACTTGCGTCTCGGTGAGCTTCAGCGACGCGGCCAGGTCGGCGCGCTCCGGCCCGGACAGGTAGCGCTGGTGGTTGAAGCGGCGCTCCAGCTCGAAGACCTGCGCGTGGGAGAAGGCGGCCCGCGAGCGTTTCTTGCGCGGCTTGGGCGCCGCGGGCTCCTCCTCCTCCTCCGCGCCGCCCGCCGGTCCGCCGCCACCGCCGCCGCCGCCTCTGCCGCACAGCGCCGGGACGCGTGCGCTTCCGGGGCCCACAGCGTCGTCCTCGGCCCTCGGGCTGCGGTCGCCTGCGGATCCCAGGGGGAACAGAAACAACAGACCGTCAGCGCCGCAGAGAAGCGAGGTCGGGCCTCGACCGTGGGGGTGGGGTGGGGTACGGAAGTACACTTTGATCCCCGAAGAACGCTTGGGGAGGGTGTGTAAGCCGCGGGTCCCCGGCAATCAGTCTCGGAACCCTGCCCCATAGTTTCTCGCATTTAGGCCTGTCCTGCGAGGGAAACGCACTCAGCCGCCTCATCCACGCTGCGTGGCCAACATCCAGCTCCCTGCCTTCTCTGGGCCCCAGGCTCCCCTCGGGGTCGTGGGGCACTGGGGCCTGAGCACCTCCTCCGTTCTCGGCGCTGAGCCCTAGGGTTCTAGACTACTCCCCTCCCTGGGTTCCCCGGCCTCCCCGCACTCACGCTTACACACACAGTCGCAGCACACAGGCGTCCACTGCACACAAGGGGATGGTGGGGGCCCGAATCCCCGGGACAGAAGTATTCGGGACCTAACCCACCCACCCACCTACCCCCAAGCACCCGGAATTCTGCGGCGGCCGTGGCAACAGGCTGCTCCAAAGCCTTGGTGGGCTTCTCTCTCTCTCTCTTATTGCAAGCAAATGAGGGGAGGGCTAGGGACCGAGGGTGAAGAGAGGGAGGTGCCCCCGCTTGGAGTCCCTGAACCCCAATCCGACGCCAGCTCCTCAGCTTCCTCCTGGATCTCCACACAGTCCCCTAACAGAGAGGTCCAGAGCTCCGGCCTCTGGCAAACAGTATTTACTTGGAGCCAGCGCGAGGCCTACAGCGGGATCCGGCCGCCAGGCATAGGAACAGGGGTCTTTCCGACCAAATGACCTGCCAGCCCTAGCTGAGGCTGTCCCTCTCCCTGCTACCTTTGGGGTGACCCACACCAAGCCCTTCTGTCTTCAGCTAGCTGCAGGGTTTGTGGCCAAGGTCTTCGCTCCTCCGCCCTTCCCGGCTCTCCTGACCCTGGGGTCTGGGAGAGTTAAATAAGCCCCCCCCCCCCCCCCC